CGTCCGGAGGGCGGGGGCGTGGGGCGCACGTGCGAGCCCTGCGCTCCCGGGGATGGGGCTTCTGCTGACTGGGTGGCACCTGGGCAGCCGGCGCTAACCCCGGGGCTCCAGGGCCTGGGGATTCTGCTTCTGTAGGTCTGGGGGAGGGCCTGTGAATGCGTAATTTTAAGGTGCGTCCCAGATCTGCTGGCGGCTCAGCGCCCCAGCCTCTTTCTTCCCTCAGGCCGCTCATCAGCAGCTCCAGCGCCCCCCACGTTTGCCTAGGACTGGTCCCCAGCCCTCTCCCGAGGAGTTGCTCGCCTGGAAGTGAAGAGCTGGAAGATATGGCGCTGGCCAAGTTACCGGGATGGCTGCCGCTGCAGTGGAAATCACGGGAGCAGAGCTGGGAGGCTTGGAACCCCAGTGACCTCATCCCAGGTCCGCAGGATCTCCTTCCCCCCTTTCTAACTGCCCCTCTGGTTCGGTGCTCCTGGCCTAAGAGACATTTCCTTCTGCCGCTTCCATCCCTGTATCTGAAACCTCCCCCTTCTCTTCATTTGTTTTCAGTCCTTAAGCTGAACAAACCACTGCTGAAGCCTGCAGTTAAACAAACAAACAAACAAACAAACAGTGGAAAAGGCACTGTCAACTGTATTATCTTCTCCCAGGAGTATCCACAATGTGGATCATCACGAGTGGGGTGCAGGGGCCGTCCCTCCCCCCTGCAATGATGGGGGCACCTGAGTTGAGTCAACTGTTTAAGACAGAAAGTAGAAAACCCAGGTAATAGTTCTTGTCCAGGTATGCATAGATGGAAATAGCTAATTCTTTGTAGGAAGAGACTTACACATTACAAATGTCAAGTCTTCTAAATAAGTGAATTGTCAACCTAGGTTTCTCCTGTAAAATTACTGCACCAGTCAGATCACCCAGAGGGGACTTACAACTGTTAGGCATTTAAAATGGCAACTTCTTTGGGAGGGGGACATGCTTAGGAAGAGACTTGAAGTGGTAGGTACTGAAATTGTGGTTGAGCAACCCCCTTTCTCAATGCTTCAGCAGACGTCTCCTAAAGATAAGAACATTAGGCTACAAACTGTACGGTTATCACACCTAGCAAAATTAATAATGTCATAATATCATCTAATCTTTATTATCATTTAATATATGGTTCATATTTTATTTATTTGTTTGTTTATTTTTAGTTGGAGTCTCACTCAGTTGCCCAGACTGGAGTTCAGTGGCACGCTTCTGGCCACTGCAGCCTCGACCTGCTGGGCTCCGGTGATCCTTCAGCCTCAGCCTTCCAAGTAGCTGGAACTACAGACGCGTGCTACCATGCCCGGCTAATTTTTTGATTTATTGTAGAGATGAGGTCTTGCCAAATTGCCCAGGCAGGTCTCGAACCCGTGCGCTCAAGCAATCCACTCACCTCAGCCTCCCAAAGCATGGGATTATGGGCTGAGCCACCGAGCCCCGCTTATATGGTCCATATTTAAATGTCCCCAACAGTCTCCAAAAATATCTTGCATAAATGATTTTTTTCCAAGTCAGGATCCAATCAATGTTCACATATTGGTTGTATTGACTTCTTCAAAGAGTCCAGGAGATTGTGGAGTAGAATGTTCCACAATCTGGATTGGCCTGATTGTATATAGCTCATGGTTAGATTCCAGGTTAAACATTTTTTGGCAAGAATGCAGGTAATGTTAAGTACCTCTCATTGCTTCTTTTCAGAAGGCAAATGATGTCCCACTGTTGGCAAAACTTAGCTTGATGACTTGGTGAAGGCTGTGACTGCCAGACCTCTCCATTGGAAAGGTGTATAGTTCCTATGTAATGAATAAGTGTCCAATGGGGGTGATACTCTGAGACTGATCAATCTGTTTCCCCAGAAACCTTTCACCCACTGGTTATAGCATCCATGATGATTCAAAAACCTAAATCAGTTACTACTACACAGGGGATTGCAAAATGGTTATTTTCTATTTCTATAATTCCTTCTATATCTTACAGTTGATATTATTATGTAAATAAGAGCCACCTTTTTCTTCCTTCTTCCTGTCTTCTTTCTCTATTTTTTAGTGTCAGTGTGGATTCATGTATTTTTTTTTGAGTTGGAGTCTCACTCTGTCGCCCAGACTGGAGTGCAGTGGCCGCTCCTGGCCACTGCAGTCTCTACCTGCTGGGCTCCGGCGATCCTTCCGCCTCAGCCTTCCAAGTAGCTGGAACTACAGGCGCGCACTACCACACCCGGCTGATTTTTTTTGGTTTATTGTAGAGATGAAGTCTCGCCAAGTTGCCCAGGCGGGTCTCAATCTTTTTTTCTTTTTTTTTTTTTGAGTTGGAGTCTCACTCTGTCGCCCAGACTGGAGTGCAGTGGCCACTCCCGGCCACCGCAGCCTCAACCTGCTGGGCTCCAGCGATCCTTTCGCCTCAGCCTTCCAAGTAGCCAGAACTACAGGCATACGCTACCACGCCCGGCTGATTTTTTGATTTATTGTAGAGATGAGGTCTCGCTGCCCAGGCGGGTCTCGAACCCGTGGGCTCAGGCAATCCACTCACCTCAGCCTCCCAAAAGCGTGGGATTACATGCTGAGCCACCGAGCCCGGCTGATCTTTTTTTTAATGTATTATATATAATCCACTACCAAAACTTGACTATATTTTAAATCTCAAAGAAAACCTCAAGTAACAAAGGCAGAAAAATTATAGTCCACATTGTCTAGTTCAGAACAATAAAATAATGATTTAATAGCAAAAAATATGAGGATACCACATATCAACATTTGTGGAATGCAGTCAAAGCTGAGGTAAGACCAAAACATAGCCGAGAACACTTTCAAACAAGAAATAGTAAAAAATAAATGAAGTAAATATTTTAACAGTTGGCATGAATACCTTCCACATAACAGGTTCTCAATAAATATTTGCCGAGCGAACTCATCCAGGAATTAGAAAAAGTAAAACATAGGTAAGGAAAGCTGGAGAAATATATATGTGTTTACAACTGTTTGAAGACATTGTTAGAGAAAGCTATTATGACACTTAAAATGGTAAGGAAGACTGTATTCAAGACAATTGCAACAAAGGCATTACTACGGGAGAAAGATCAGACAGTTCTGAATACAGCAAAGACTTCTGGGAATTTATAATCAGTACAAAGTGAAGAGTCAATGGATGGAAAACTACTAAGAGGATGCATTAAGGTCAGGAAGATTCTTGCTATCCCAGATAGCAGGATCTGGGCTAGGCAGGACAAAGACAGGATAGGGACCAAGGTAGAGGTCTAGTTGAGAAGAAAGTCCTGAAGAGCCTGACTAAAGATTGGTCAAGGAGAGAGATTTTGTCAACATTAAAGATTAATAAATACAGGCCAGGCGTGGTGACTCACACCTGTAATCCCAGCACTTTGAAAGGGAAAGGCAAGAGAACTGCCTGAGCCCGGGGTTCAAGACCAGCCTGAGCAACTTGGCAAGACCTTGTCTCTACAATAAATCAAAAAATTAGCTGGGCATGGTGGCATGTACCTATAGTACAGCTACTTGAGAGGCTGAGATGGAATGATTACCTGGACCCAGCAGGTCAAGGCTATGGTGGCCAGTCTGGGTGACAGAGTGAGACTCTGATTAAAAAAAAAAAAAAAAAGGATAACAAATACAGACAAGATTTGAGGGACCAGAATCCTTAAGAGAAGTGTGTGAGATTTACTCCAGCTTCTCCACTGAGGGTACTTTTTAATTTGTTGCTTGTTTCCTAAGCAGAAAGACCTAAGGAGGCAAGAGTATGAGGCTGCCAAAGTAGCTGTGGCAAAGTCCTGGAAAGGAGAGAACTGCAAAGCAGTGAACCCAAAGATCTGCATACAGATTCACTTTATGCTACTGGATAGCTTCTAAACTATCCTCTACAGGAAGAAACAACAGCAGCTGAGAGACTAAGAGATAAGTAAAGACTTCACATATGCTGGAGAGAAAGGTTGTAGTTCAGACTCCACCAAGATGGAGGAGCTTTGGCAAATACAAGGGACTTTTGGCTGAGATCTCATAAGAACATGCGCTGGAAATAAGGGGTACACCCTAGTCATAAGAGCAAAATTTATCTTCTATAATGTTGTCAGGAAAAATATAAAAATCTTGAGGTGGCTGAAAAGGAGAGGAAAAGAAGAAAGAGAGAAGACAAAAGAATTGGTTCTATGGTATTCAGATACTGGATTTATCAGGCAAAGACTTTTTAAAATGATGATTAATATGATGAGGAAGAATTTTACCAGTGAACTAGGATCTGGGATAAAGTGTCAAATGGAGAATCTTGACCTGAAAAGTACTATAACAAATTAATAACTAAATAACCTGTGTTTAATAGCAAATTAGGCCGGGCACAGTGGCTCATGCTTTAATCCCAGCACTTTGAGAGGCTGAGGCAAGAGGATCACCTGAATATAGGAGTTTGAGACTAGCCTTGGCAACATGGAAAGTCTTTGTCTCTACAAAAAAATTTTAAAAATTGGCTCAGTGTAGTGGCATGTGTCTGTAGTCCCAGCTACTTGGAGAGCTGAGGTGGAAGGATCAGCTAGCCCAGGTAGGCTACAGTAGCCATGACTGTGTCACTGCACTGTAGCCTGGTTGACAGAATGAGACTCTGATTCGGGGGGCGGGAAAAAAAGGAAAGGCAAATTAGACACCAGTAGAACAGAAGATTAACAAAACTGGAAGACAAACCAGTAGAAAAA